CCCCTCGATATCGAGGAAATTATATCTAAGCTTACATTGAACGAGAAGAGTAGGTTGCTGGCTGGCATTGATAACGTACGTGGTAGTATACCAGGGATACAGTAAAGTTTTGACGATGAGCTCGCTGCAGTGGCATACGTATCCAGTTCCTCGCCTTGGTGTGCCATCCCTACGAGTGAGTACTCGCCGCCAGGTGCCAGGGATCTCGAATTGACAGAACGGCCCATCAGTTCACCGATGGTCCTAATGGAGCCCGTGGGACCATGTGTGAGAAAAACCCTAACTACAAAGCCCTTCATTTGGCTAAAGCTCTGTATAGTCTTCGAGGGTGTCCCGGCCGCCTGTTTCCCCGCTGCGACTGGACTCGCCTCTGCTTGGGACCCAGAGTTTGCTCAGAAAGTAGGCAGGGCCATCGCACTCGACTGCAAAGACAAGGGTATGAGCTCCCATACACGATCTCTCCTTTACTCATCTACCCTTAGGGGCCCATGTCCTCCTTGGCCCTACGGTCAACATCCAACGCTCTCCTCTTGGTGGCCGCGGCTTCGAATCATACTCGGAAGACCCTCACTTGTCGGGTATCCTCGCCCGTGCATTCATCAAGGGTGTTCAATCGGAAAACGTCGCAGCCACAATCAAGCACTATGTCTGCAACGACTCGGAGTTTGAGCGCATGTCCATGTCGTGTAAGTGCACTATTTTTTGTCTGCGGAGACGGGTCAAGTTGACAAGCGAATACGTTAGCCGAGGTATCAGTCCGTGCGCTCCGCGAGATTTACTTACGCCCCTTTGAGCTGGCCATGCGCGACAACGAGAACGCGCCTTGGGCCGTTATGTCTGGGTATAATCGAGTGAATGGTACGTTCCAAATAAAATTTCGCGTTTGTGCTTCGGATTATTCACGTGCGGTGCTAAATCGTAGGTCTGCACGCTTCGGAGAACAAGTAGTCAGTCTATCTTCTGGAAATATGGCGTTCTTAGTCTCTAACACGCCAATTGCAGCTTGCTCGACTCCATTCTACGAAAACAGTGGGGATGGGACGGGATGATCATGTCTGATTGGTGCGTGCTCCAGATATTTGTTTGTGGGTGACATTTATCCTATATGCTGCATAGGTACGGCACGTATTCGTCCGATACATCTATCAAGGCTGGACTCGATCTTGAGATGCCCGTGGGTTACTCGGCACTTTCATAGCCGGGGTTGTCTTGCTGATGAGTGCATATAGGGCCCCCCAACGTGGCGCGCGGATGCTCTGCAACGCTGCGTCGTTGCGCAAAAGGTTAGGGTGGCCGAGGTTGATGAGCGCGTGCGCAAGGTACGTATTTTGTTTCTGTGCGCACAAGACATAACTCAACAGGGATTGGTGAATAGGTTCTGGGTCTTATCAACCGGGTCGCTGCGTCGGGTATCCCAGAAAACGCACACGAGACTGGGGTGCCAAAGAAAGAAACCGTCGACCTCCTCCGCCAAGCAGCGGCGGTGCGTGTTTCTCCATCTACGCTGCCCTATCAACCTCGACTCACTATTTCATAGGGTGCCAACGTCCTCCTCAAAAACAGCGCCTCCATCCTTCCACTCACTGCCTCTTCAATCTCCTCTATCGCAGTCATCGGTCCCAACGCCGATGCCCCCGTTTATTCCGGTGGAGGGTCCGCCAACCTCCGCCCATACAAACACACTACCGCTCTCGATGGTATCCGCGCCGCCCTCCCACCTTCTACCCGGGTGCACCACGTGATCGGGTCTCATGCGCACAAGGAGGCGCCGTTGTTGCTCGACAAGCACCTAAAGACCAAGGATGGCCAACCCGGGTTTGATATCGAGTGGTTTAATGAGGACCCGCTTCAGGTGCCTGGGACGAAGCGGGTGCATTATACGAGGGGTACAAGCTCGTTCTCGTTTTTCAACGACAACTTGCCTATAGATGTGAGTACATGGACATCCCGAGTCGCGCATCTGCTGACTTGGGGCAGATCCTTGCACCGGCGTGCTGGGCGACAATAACCGGATATTATACTCCCGAGGTGTCGGGCAAAGTTGGCATTATTCGATCCTATATTACACGCATATCCTCATTCAACTCTCATAGTACGAGTTTGGTGCCGCTGCAACTGGGCTAGTCGACATCTACGTCAACGGCAAAAAGGTTGTCGACAATTCTACCAACCCCAAACCTGGACGTAAGAGTCTTCCTCCTTCCGTTATGCAACAATTTGTCTGATACCTTGCTAGACGTATTTTTCATGACTGGCACGCTCGAAGTTTGCGGAACTATCGAGCTCGAGGCAGGCAAGCCCGCTGAACTTGTTCTGCAATACGCGAGCCCAGTCGCCGCGCAGTCTAAAGGGTTCGCTCAAGTTGGTGCCGGGTCGCTCTCCAACGAGAGCAGGGGAGGATGCCGATTTGGGTGCTCGCGCGTCATCGAAGATGACGTTGGGGTTAACGAGGCCGTGGAGGTTGCTAAGAAAGTGGACACGGTGGTGCTCGTCGTGGGCTTGAACAGCGGTGAGTTTCCTCTACGTTGCCTCGGCCAGCACTGATATCGGCGCCTCAAAAGACTGGGAGTCCGAAGGTTACGACCGAACCGACTTGATCCTTCCGCGAGCGACCAACAAACTCGTTCAGTCTGTGCTCGACGTGAACAAAAATACTGTTGTTGTCATCATCAGCGGCGCCCCTGTTTCAATGCCATGGGCAGACTCGGCCTCGACAATCGTTCAGTCGTTCTACGCCGGCGGCGAAGCCGGTAACGGACTGGCGGATGTCTTGTTTGGAAAGGTGAACCCAAGCTCGAGGTTGCCGCTTACTTTCCCGATTGTGAGTGTTTCCCAACTGGGAGCGAGTAGACGCTTAAACTTGTCCGCACCTCGTAGAGAGACGAGGATACGCCTTCGCATTTGAACTTCCCTGGTCAGAATGGAAAAGTTTTGTACTGTACGTGGGAGATGCTGCAAGGGCTTGGAGATTACTGACTATATGCGTCGATAGCGGAGGGTGTCTTTGTTGGGTACAGGCACTACCAGACCTTTAAGAAGGACGTGCTCTTCCCCTTCGGATTCGGTCTTTCGTAAGTACTCTATCATTTTCATCGTCCTCGCTAAACCTTTGGACGGGGCAGGTACACCCAATTTGAGCACTCGAATCTAAAAGTATCTGGCTCTATTGGCAAGGATGGCATAGTCACGGTTTCTGTTACCGTCAAGAACATAGGAAAGATTGCTGGCCGGGATGTTGTGTAAGTTTCCAATATTCACCCGATATAGCCTGTCCCTCACGACTACCTTGTAGCCAAGTGTACGTCCGCGATCTCGCCTCCCGCCTCGACCGACCCGTCAAGGAGCTCAAAGGATTTGCCAAAACGACAACCCTTGAGCCCGGGAAGTCTGGTACCGTCTCGATACCGCTCGACAAGTACGCCTTCGGTTACTTTGATGATTGGGCCGGTGAGGGAAAAGATGGAGAGGGTCTATGGGTTGCGGAGGCGGGCGAGTTTGAGATTTTAGCGGCGGCCAACAGCGCAGATTCTGGGTTGGTTGCCCCAATCAGCTTGAAGGAGTCGTTTAACTGGCTTTAAATGAGCCTGAGAAGGCGTCTTGGGTCCATTGTACCGGGTATCAGTTGTATACATATTGTTCAAGGCAACACACTCTACCAGCTGGTGTAAAATACGATGGCGTAGGTGCTGAGTGGCATTTACTTGAGTATTTCTACAACCAAGAGGTATAATAGGTAGTTGTGCTACCAAACCTACTCCACAAGTGGCATAACTTGTCGTAGCTCTAGCCAGGTACACTGACGCTCAAAAGTAGTGCACCGCCCACCTTCGTCATCCCACTGTGCATATATGCGGTGTCTTTGAGTCCTGTACATAAAAAACCGATACAACTAACAACTCTCTATTAAATGCACACACGCTTGTGTGACATCAATCGCCAGATGGGACCGGCGACACCACACGTCATACGTTTCCTGGAAGATATCAGAAAGTTAGGAAACACGGGTAGAGGCGAGGAAAGGAGGGGAGTAGAGCGGAACGGAGCCGCAGGGTGAAAGTACTACACCATGAGAGGAAACCGAATGGTGACGCACCTTTCCACAGAATAGAGCAGAACACAACCCAATACCGCCTCAGGCGCCGACGGATGGTCAAGATGGAAGGAGAAGGACACCCAGCGAACACAAGGCGCGTGGGTCCCCGGGGGCACTAAAACAGTCAATTGGCTGGACGTTCGGAGAGCGTAGGCTCTTCGGACGGGCATTTCTCAGGGCTAAGGATGGATAGGGCTGAGGGGCCGACGATGGGGCGGAGAAGACGGCTTATCTATTCCCACCGGCGCGTGGCGACTGTCATACATAGCCTGTTGGTTGCATTGACAGTATAAAATTGGATTGAAAAATAAAAATCGCCAGATGTGGTGCTACAGAGGGGGGTCGTTAAGGGTGAACTTCCAACTCTGATATGAAGTCGTTTGGGTTAGATCTGTGCAGTCAAATAAATGTTATACTGCGCCACGAGCATTGTGAGCTTTTAATCAGCTCAAAGGGATGTATGGCTGGCGAGATACAAGCCCCACAAAATCGGGTTTTTGACTATAATTTGGACAAACATCAACAAGCGATTACGAAAATGCTGATTTTGCGAAGCTTGTATCCCGTCAGCCAGACATCCACTTAAGCTGATTCAAAGTGCAAAATGCTCGCAAAGCAGCATACTATCTATTGGACTGCACAGGTCCAACCCAAACGGCTTCATATTAGAGTTCAAGGCTCACCCATGATGACCCCCCCCCCTTCCGTAGCACTACATCTGGCTATTGATACCACACAAACGGGTGTGTGTTTAATAAAAAATTGTTAGTCGTATTGGTCCTCCATGTACGGGACTCAAAGATATTGCATAGATGTACAGTGGGATGACGGAGGGTGGGTGGCGCATGACTCAGTGCCAGTGTCGTTACGATTCATAGTGAGATTTTGGTGTGCAGACTAAAAGATGTGCTCCCTGTGAGGCTCGAACTCACGACCTTTGGATTGTGCAATATATTATATTACTCATAATCTATGAGACCAACGCTCTACCAACTGAGCCAAGGAAGCATAACACAAACATGCTACAAATGTTATGTGAACATCCAAACCCGGAGTTCCATATGTTTTTGGAGGCAAGTAACAATCCATGACAGACTTGATACAAAACCAACACGACACGAGGCTAGAAATATGGTGTTCAGAATGTAAAAAAACTATTAACACAACAATCATAAGCTTTTGCACTAACAAACAAACAAATGACTTTCTGTGATCACAAGTGACCACCTGGTTGTGAGCACAACAACCAAGGGCTAAATTATTTGTGGGGTAAAAACCTTGTTTGTTGCTTATGTTTATTGTTTGTGTACAAACATACAAACCACACCTACTGGGATACCACACCCAACAACATCATATTACCACAACACCACAATGCCATAGTAGCAAGTAGTACATCACCACAATGCCACACTACAGTTACCACAACATCACAATACCAGAAAACCACAATGCCACAATGCCATAACTGTCACGACCTCGCGAGAGGTGGACTGAGGATAACGAAGTGACAAGGCACGAAGGTGGAGCTGAAAGGGAACGACCGTCCTATAGGGGCGTCACCGCCTCCTAGAGGCGACCGGAGTGTGACTGAGTGACGAAGGAGAGACAAAGGCGTGTGCCGGCTGCGGAGGAACTCCACATAGACTGGTGGTGGGTGATGGGGGCCCCGGGCCCGAAGGGGCCTGCGTGCAGGTATGCGTGGCCTAGGAAGTGTCATACCATACAGGCATACATAGCCGAAGACAAAGGGGCTGGCGTATGGGAATGCGCAGCTGAAAGGAGGTGCTGACGTATGGGTGTAGGTGACCTATGGTAGTGCCAAGCGCATAGGTGTGCGCAGCCGGTGCATATAGCGTGGGAGGGGTTAGGGGCGAACAAAGTGAGCCACGAGTCCGAAGGTGCCGGGGTGTACACGTGCGCAGTCAGGGAATACTGGTGACGAGTAAGCCACGAGTCCTGAAGACCTGACAAGCGCAGGAAGGGGAACGAAGTACAGGTGAGGGTGATACCCCACAGGGAGCTGCTAGTCTAGTGGCTGAGTGAAGAGAGAGACTAAGGTGTCCCCCAGGTACCTCCAGGAGGTGGCCTAGGAGAGCAAGACTGAACACACTAGCAAGGGAGGATCTGATACGCGGAGCGCGTCGGACCTAACTAACAGCAAACGGGCAAGACACGCTCAGCGAGCAGAACAGCAAGCTCTACTATTGGAGTCTAGCTACCTAACAGCAAATGGGCAAGACACACTAGACGACAATCAGAACGAGAGACAGAGAAACGAGAGACAGAAGAGACCTACCTCAGCGAGCAGAACAGCAAGCTGAGGGACAATGCACGAAACCGACGACTATATATACGACGAGAGATAGATAGGAGACGGTACAACGCGCGTGAAAGACAAACGACAGGAGAAAGAAAGGAGGAAGAACGAGACGCGGGCCGAGAACCGTGATCACGTGCCGGTCCGCACAACACTCCCACTCGGTGTGTGAAGCAAACCGCTGTGCGTACCGCCATCCAGTCCAGCAACCTGCGCAGTGTAATCGCGCCGAACCCACGGAACACCCAACATAGGTGGCATAGTCGCAAACAGCGCTGGACCCAGTGGCTTCGTAAGAATGTCAGCCGCATTTGACTTCGTAGGCACCCAGATAAAGCGACAGACGCCAGTCCTGATCAGCTCGCGAACGAAGTGATACTGCACATCGAGGTGTTTTGTTCGGCTAGAGAGTTTGTCCGAGTCCGCTAGCAGCATGCTACTCTGATTATCCGCATATATGCGCAGTGGTCCGTCACCTTCGACTCCCAGTTCACGCAGAAGACACGTAACCCACATCGCATGCTTCGCAGCTTGACCCATGGCAACGTACTCAGCCTCTGTCGACGAGGTCGTGACGATCGCCTGCTTCCGAGAGCTCCACGAAATAGCCGCACCAGCAAGTAACGCCACGTAGCCAGAATGGGATTTCCGAGTTATTGGGCAGTCAGCAAACGCCGAGTCCGTGTACATGTGTGGGAGAGGATCCTTAGAAGCCCGCGAGTAAACCAGACCCATGTCAACTGTCTGACTCAAGTATCGCAGTACGTGCACCAAGGCCTGCCAGTGCTCCGGATGGGGGTTTGACTGCGCCTGCCCGAGCCGCGCCAACACGTATGCCAAGTCTGGTCGAGAGCTGAGCACCAACCAGTTCAGACACCCCAACAAATGCCGATAGTCCTTGTCACGCATGTACGACCTCTCGGACTCGGTTAACGGTGTAAGATGCGACGGAAGAGACGACGCTGTGTTTGAGAACATCGGTGTATCCAGCGGCCGACAGTCAAGCATATCGAACTCCTCGAGTAACTGGCGTGCAAACTTGCGCTGAAAGATACTTAGCGTCCCAGCCTCTCGGTCACGAACAATCTCCAGCCCAAGAACCTGACTCGCCACGCCCAGATCCTTGAGGTCAAACAGCGAAGACAGACGCGCTTTAAGCCATTCCATGTGCCCCACAGTCCCAGCCAGCAGAGTGAAGTCGTCCACATAGATCAGAACGTAGCAGCGATCAGACGAGGCTGGAGGAGTTACCCAAAACAGACAATGGTCGTTATCCGAGCGCACAAATCCCTTGTCCAGCAATATCCCAGTACAGTGGTTGTACCAGCTGGCTGGCGCCTCCTTCAGGCCATAGACTGCCTTGTTCAAGCGTAACGCCTGTCCAGCGTGTGGGACACCAGGGAGCAACTTCGAGTCAGGGAAACCAGAGGGAATCGTCAGGTATACCGGGCGAGACAGGGGAGCATGCAGGAAGGCCGTTTTGACGTCCATCTGTTGTAGTTCGCAGTCCGTGCGTGCCACCAACGCTGCCATCGCCTGTAACGTCACAGTACTAGCCACGGGGGATGCAAGAGCCGGCCCGTCTTCAGACGACTGAGACTGCATGTCGCCGCACGCCACGCATCTCGCCTTTTTACGAACCTCAGCCCCAGTTTCATCGGTCTTGCGGCTCAAGAGTAATATGGTCGGAATGACCTCTTCATCCTGCAGCCGCGCAACCACTTCATAGACACCCTTCTCCTCCCAGGAGGTGAACTCGCTATCAATCGCCTCCTTCCACTGCTGTGCCTCAGGCCCCTGCATCGCCGCCTTGAAGGTCTTGGGTGCCGTCGCTACGTTCGACTGAGCGGCCTCCCTAAGCTTCCAGGTTGCCTTGCGGGTCCGCCTCGGCCGTTCCACCACAGGGATCCCAGACACAGGGTCAGCCACCAGATCCGCATCCTCCCCCATGACCCGCTCCTCTCCCACTGAGTCCTGCAGTCCTCCCACTGAATCGCCAGGCGGGCAGTCAAGATCAGCAGGTACCGG